GGAAAAATATTGTGAAATAACGAATAATTTTGCACAAAAACATGAAATATAATAATTACAAAGAAGTAAATAACACGCTAGACTTAATATATTTGATTAAAAATTGCTTGTAATCGCGTAATAAAATAATAAAGGAAATATGTTTTTAGGTTAGAAAAATGAAAACATGTGTTTTGACAACAGGAACGGTACTGCCAACTTAAATAATAGCGGTAAATTTAAAAACTTATGAAATTAATTATTATCTACGTAAATAATAATAAATAATTTTTATTTAAAAACTTCTAAATATTCGTACTGGTCAAAATAAACTTTCTGGTGTTGTTGAAATATTAGAAACAATAATTGAAATACAAAATTACTCTGCTTATGATGCCAACTTAGAAATCTGAAATTCCAGCCAATATCATTTTGAATAACATGAAGTTTGTCCCATACTCATTTCGATACCCAAAAGAAAATGAGTTGCAACAAAAATGAGTCCAAGTTTTTTCTGTGTTATGATCACCCTACTATTAAAGATATTTACTTTTTTTTTTTTTTAATAATTATAAATCATTCGTAGGTCTATACATTAGTAGCAGAACAATTTGTTTCTAAATTAACAGAGCTCAATCTTATAGTTCCCATAAATAAACAATCACACATTCATTTTTCAATATATACATAGAATTTGTATTAAACTTTTAAACAATTAACTATAAATTTAATAAAGAGCACATTTCAATGCTTTGTTTTTCTCGCATCATCAAATCACTATATTTATATATGAAGAATATATTGTGCGATTCGAATGACAAATTTTTTTTTTTTTTTACCGTATATATTATTTTTCACACGCAGTTGTCATTTATTTCGCATTTTCGAGCTTTCAAATGATGAGCATATATTTTACATTGTTTCTTCATCTTTCATTCTTCATGACATTATATTACAGGTTTTTTTTTACTAATTTTTGGAGCTATAATTTTATGCACTTATACATATATGTAGTACATATATATATACATATATGACGTTTTGTATTTTCTGAAAACAAAAATTGATGCAGGTTTATCTAGTGGATAAACAATTTAATTGAGCCAAATATGAGATATCGTCATTATTTTTTGCATATTTCTAGCTATATTTATTTATATTTATATCTGAGGTGCAAATACTCTTTTTTGTATGGTAGTGGTTACTGCGTCATTTTATGAAATTATTTTTTTTTTTACAGTAGTGCTTAATGCTCATGTTTTATATGCTTTTTGTGAAAACATATAAAGAGTGCAATTAGATGTATGTACTGTACAGCAATTCTTTCATAAAAGACTTGTTGCTCTGACAAAAAAAAAATTTTACAATTTTTTTTTTTATGTTTTGTATTAACAATGTAAAATAATATTTTATCTAAACGTCGAAATTTTTATCTCTATAGGTATATCACACACGGAGTAGTATAAAGAGTTGGAACGTTATTTATAAAGAATAAATATATGATAAATTAGAGATAAATAATTTTTTTGCATTTTTCTACTTTCAATTTTTGTAGCGGAATTTTTTATTTTGCAAAAATTTAAATTTGAAATATGTCGAAACAGGAAGCACAATATTGTTTTTTTCTTTTATGAAGGTAACACTAGGTAAATTGTAATAATTCTGTCAAATGAGTTTTAAGGGGTTACACACCACTGTAGAATTTTCAAAAAATCGAAATTTTGGGCTTAAGGCCAGGTCCAAGTGAGGCAGCGCCATCTACATTGAAACTAAAATTTTGGAAAATTTTCAACAGCCTTTTCTTGAAAACAAGAAGGTAAAATGCTTTTTCCTTTATGGATAATTGATTATTGGCAAGAAATACACCAGCTAAAACTTTTTTTGAGTTAAAATAATGAAAAAAATTTCATGTCAATAAATTAAATATGAGCACTTTTTTCACAAAAAGTGTAACAGTACTTTCTCAGAAATTACAATCAAAAATGCAATTTCCATTTGGAAAATTAATAAACGCTAAAAAATACACGACCTAAGATTTACCAATCACGAAAATAACAAAAAAAAGTATTTTAACATAACATATTTTACTCATTATGACAGCCGTTTGGCAGGTTATATATGTCACCAGACGTTTCGCAGTTTTGCCGAAAGGAGGAGATTGGCGCTGTTGCTAACCACCTGAAATACATAATCTACCAAAGGGCTGTCACAATCAGTAAAGCAGTATCAATATGTTAAATATTTAATAAAATTTTTTTTCTTATTTTCGTGATTGGTAAATCTTAGGTCGTGTATTTTTTAGCGTTTATTAATTTTCCAAATGGAAATTGCATTTTTAATTGTAATTTCTGAGAAATTACTGTTACAGTTTTTGTGAAAAAAGTGCTCATATTTAATTTATTGACATGAAATTTTTTTTATTATTTTAACTCAAAAAAAGTTTTAGCTGGTGTATATCTTGCCAATAATCAATTATCCATAAAGGAAAAAGCATTTTACCTTCTTGTTTTTAAGAAAAGGCTGTTGAAAATTTTCCAAAATTTTAGTTTCAATGTAGATGGCGCTGCCTCACTTGGACCTGGCATTAAAAAATTCTTTAAACCTTCTAGAATAAGGGAAGAAAAGGTTTTATATCGATCGGAAAATTTTTTCAATATTTTTAAAATCGGCCACGTTTTTCTGTAGCTATTGTAATGTTAATTAAGAAAACAAATTTTATTTTGTTCCACACGGAGAGAAATAAATTTCCGATGGAATTCCGATGAGATTCCGATTAATTCTTTTTTAATTTTTAGAGTCATACATTAAGAAAATTATTATTATTATTATAAAATAGAATTTTTATCATAGAAACCTTACAAAAATTTTTTTTTATTTTTTATGAAATATTTATCAGCAGAGCTAGAAATCAACTAGCTTTTCATTGTCCAACATTCATTTGGACAAGTATCTAGAAAACATTTTTAATTTCTCTAAATTATTAATAATTTTGATAATAATAACAATTTGAGTGGAAAAAAATAATTTGAATAAAAAAAGATATCGATCTGTCAAGTTGAAGAAAATTGTTTGAATTTGTTTTATGTTTTTCTTTTATATTTTTTAATACATAAACTATTTTTTTAACAATGTCAAGTAAATATTTCATTAAAAATATATTTTTTTAAAAAGTTTCTATGATAATTCATCGGAATTCCGATTTCTTTAATTAAGCCATACATCAAGATAATAATTCATAAAAAAAAAATAAAACTTTTTAGTAAAGTTTCTAAGATAAAATTTCTATTTTATAATAATAATAATTTTCTTAATGTACGACTCTAAAAATTAAAAATAATCAATTCCGTCGGAATCCCATCGAAAATTCTTTGAAACTGCGATGAAATTCCGACGGAATACTCATGGAATCTCCAGGGGGAACTTTCCGGGGAATCTTTTCAAAAGTGGGATAACCCCTTAATAATGTCAAATAGTTGGTATTAATATGCATCTTCAATTTGTATTTATCACTAGGCGGAATTCATGAAGATTATGAGTTAAGTCTGATGTTAATTTATTTGATTTTTTATTTTCCAAAGTTTGTGAGATAAAATTCAAAATTTCAAAATTTAAAGACAAAGATGCTGATAATCATGACATTTTTTTTGAACATCCTCTTTTTTCACCATTAACGCAATATTATGAAAAATAATTAAAAGTTCTTTGAACGAAAATAATTATTAGACGATCGTTAGTCTAAGATTTTTCTCTTTGATATATAAGATCGTTGTAACAGATATATTTTTTTTGTAGTAAAAATTTTTAAAAAAAGAACTAAGTGGACCCAATTAGATATACTATCGTATTGATAGTAGTAGATGTAAAAAAAAAAAATTAAAAACTTTTGAGTTGATTTAAAGTGACTATACAAAATTGGCTGATGTATCCAACTCTTAAAATTTGTAACCAATAAAAATAATTACACCAGCCAACTACTATAGGGTCGCAGTCCATAAAGAATATATATAATTGTATTATTCAATACACAGGTTCATCTACATATATATATATATTTTTTTATATAAATCTAACTATTTCTCTGAGTGTATTATTATTATTATAGGTTTCAGCTCTCAACACTATTTCGAGCATATTATGTAATACGTTTACATTGTTTTTGTTTTTTTTCAAAGCGTGTTTGGAAAAAAAATTTTCAAAAAGCAATTGAACATTTGCGCCTTAATGAAAGTATTTTTTTTACAATATTCGCAAACAGTCTTTTTTTTAAAAATTATAATGATGCATTAAACAAGATATGTATAATAATAACCTATCTATCTACAAAAAACAGTATGTACTTTTCTTGCGCCCAATTTTTATTTAAAAAAAAAATAATTCGTAAATATACCTAAAAATACGTTAACTGTAAATAAGAATTAATTTTCGGAAAATATTATTTAATTAAATAACAAATACATAAAATAGCACAGCCTTCTCTAAAATATGAAAAACAATAATAGCTTTCTCGAAATTAAATTAAAAAATCTATAAAAGTTATTTTTTTATTTACAAAAAACCAACTTTGTGCATTGTTTGTTTGTGCATTAAAAAGTATTAAAAAAAAAATTGATAAAAAAATATTTTACTGGAAGAATGAAAAATATGATTCTGACAAATAAAAACTTAATATATTTTAATTTCATAAACGTAATTAATTATTTTTTAAAACTAGTATAATGTTTTTCTAATAGAAAAAAAAATTGTTTACGAAATTTGCTATGTGTCTTTAATAATCCCCACATAACACAACTTCTTGCACGAATATTACCTTCGTATTGTGGTACAAGATATGAAATACATATTATCTTGCCTGAATATTTCACTATAATAATGTATGTCTTACACTACTATACTCGTATGCAAAAAAGTTGTGCCATATGTAATTCAATCTCTACACCTTGCGTTGATATTCAGTTTTATTTCTACATATATTTCATAATATAACAATATTTTTCAAAATAATAACAAAAAAATTTTTTACGTTTAAAAAAAAGTACAATGTTGCTAAATTAATTTTTAAATTAAAACTTTCGTTTTTTTAAAGAGTTCTGCTATAATTAAACTATACAAAGCCAGTTACAGGGGAGGAATTGTGTAATTTCATTTTGTCTTACATTTTCACTTTCATTTCCAATTTCACTTTCACTTTAATTTCCAATTTCACTTTAACTTTCGGTTCTATTTTAACTTTCATTTCCATTTAAACTGGAATTTTTCACTGAAAAATGAAAGTGATAATAAAAGTCAAAGTAGAAGTCATTTTTTCAGTTAAAACTGAAATTACTAGTGAAAGTGAAACTCTAACTGGAAGATAATTTTCACTTAAAACCGGAAAGTGACGTTAAAATTGAAAATCAAAGTGGAAGTCATTTTTTCCCTGTAAAATGAAAGTGAAAATGAAAGTGAAAATGAAAGTGAAAATGAAAGTGCAAATGAAAGTGAAAATGAAAGTTAAAATGAAAGTGAAAATGAAAGTGAAATTACACAATCGCACTACTGATTGCTGTTGGTAACATTTAATAATACTAGGCAAATAGCGCTGGCATTATAAATAAACTAAATTGTCAGAAAAATCTCCATTCGATTGTTTTAATATATTAATATTTTTTTTTAACGATTTACAAAAATTATTTTTTTTTTCTCTCTCGAAATACGTAAATTGTTGCGAATTACAACGATATTCGACATTTTTTTTTATTTCGAGATGTAATTTCGCGACACACGCTAAATTCTTGAATGTAGATCAGCTCAGCTACTTCATATATATATAAATTTATATATATATATATATATCGTTCGTTGATCCACAGTCATTAAAATATAAATGACGGACGCACATGACAGTGGAAAGACGTATTGGATATTGGTAGATTGGCCGAACTTTAATGCGTGTCGCGATCAAACAGTCACCTTGTTACTCCAGCGTGTAACAATAATAGAAGAAGTGCTAAAGTGCGCGTTGTCGCTCCACTATTGCTAGAATTTCCATGCTGCATTGCCGCAGGATGTTCTCCTGTAATTAAGAAAAAAAAAAATTTTTTTCTTGAAAAATAATAAATAATTTAATAATATTAAATAAATAATTTTTTTTAAATTAGTGAAATTAAAATACTAGGTTAGGTAGGTTTGGATCAGAGTTACCAATGATCCTATTTAAACACAACTGCGCTTGCGCTACGACAACTCGAAAAAAGCGCGCTTATATAAAATGTTTAATAATGAGAAAACGTTAAGAAAGCAAGAAGTGTTTAAAATTTAGGCAGGAGGAAGCTGATTGTCTTCAGAGGATCGAAGAGAATATCGCCAAGATGGAAAAGCCCAGAAGAATGTCAACATGACTATTAAGGACGGACTTAAGACTCTTCAGGATCCTGTCAGTGAGGCAAAGATAAAGCACGTCCTAGCAGATAATGGAGATAGCAACCTTGGTGGCGTTATAGGCAATGCAGGAGTGAATCGAGAAGAGCGAAACAGGAAAGAGAGCGTATCCCTGAGAAGCGGTTTCGGTGCAGTCATAGAGGCGCAGAAACAAAGTAAAATTTCTGTCAGTTCAGACTGACGCCGAAGCGAAGAAGAAAAAACAAGAAGAGGCACCTTTTGTCAAAAAAGATTGCAAAGGTGACGGTAACACCGAATGCTAAGCAAATTAGTATAAGAAGAAAGTGAATCTATAGCAACAGGAACAACGTATGCCGACGTACTGAGCAAAATTCGGAGGGAAGTGAATCCGATCATCAGTCACATGCAGGTCATGGGTGCAAGGCTTTAAGAAAAGGAGATCTCCTAATCAAAATCGGAGGAGACTCCAATAAGGAGGCATTCACTACTGAGGTTTGAATCCTAAGCAAATCAGTAAGAAGAGAGTGGATCGACAATGGTGATCCGAGTCGCAACAGGAACAACGTATGCCGAAGTACTGAGCAAACTTCGGAGGGAAGTAAATCCAGACATCAACCACACGTAGGTCGTGGATGCAAGGCTACAAGAAAGGGAGATCTCCTAATCAAAATCGAATGAGACTCCAATAAGGAGGCATTCCTGCTCAGGTCTCCAAAGCGGTTGGCAGCATGTAGAAGTTGCAGATGGTGGATCGAAAGGTTACATTGGAGATCCGCGACTTGGATTGCTTTACCCAGGAAGAAAATGTCCAACAGGCGTTGGCGGAAGTGCTCCAGAAGACAGGAAGGAGGAAGGTGACAGACCTAGGATCCAACCGACGAGGAATGAAGCTCGCAGTTGTAGTCACTAACCCAGAGGAGGCGGACACACTGGAGAAAGTAGGACGCATAAGGATTGGCTTTATGTGTTGACCAACAAACAGAAGAGTTAGGGTCATTCAGTGCCTGGCGTACGGCCTCATAGGAAGAGTTTGTAAGGCAGCGGACAAATCAACTGCGTTCTTTAAGTGTGGGGAAGTCCATCATAAGTTTGCAAACTGCAGTAGAAACCTAAGCTGCTTCTTATGTAGAGAAAAGTATTTGCGATAAAGTAAAAATTAGCTATATTGCAGGTAGCGGAGGATTCGGAGTCTTCAGGACAGCCCTTGAGGAGTCCAAGAAGATTCTCGCACGAACGAAAAATAAATCGGCCAGAAATATCGGCAAGGATCGCGATACCGAGATCCTAGAGACCTTCACCTACGAAGTTTAAAGCTTGACGACAGTTCCGTAGTGCCAGGATTAGTCCACCTAAGGGGTGTGGCTTTTAGTGGGTCGACCATAACAAGAACAACGTGCAGTAAATTTGAAAATTACATTTAATAATTTTGAAAAAGTAGATCAGTTGAAAGTTTGGAAATTTTTTTTTTAATTAGTATAAGGTATTTTATCACTGTTGAAAGGAGTTAAATTTTGTAAATCTGACTTTAGATTCTCGTTTAGTGACCTCAAAAACCTCTAATAGATACCAAGTTTCATGTAAATCCCTACCAATACAAACTATTTAGAAACTCACTAAAATTCATTGAAAGCGTATTGAGGTAATAAGTTTTCAAGGAGTTTCCAGTGAGTTTCTAATGATTTCGCATCAGTAGGGTATCTATCAATCTTTAAAAAATTCCTTCGACGTCATACAAAATGCGCCGTATTTTTTGAAATTAGAAAAAATTTAGTTCAATTTTCATTAATTATTCTAATATTTTCCTAAATTTCCTTTGTAAATAAATTTACAATTTACTTTTTGCGACTATATGAAATTTTTTTTATAAACTAAAATATTTAAAAATAATCTACAAGTGAGATAGAGAGAGAGATAGAGATGAGAGACTTATGTGAAAAGCATGCTTTTCAATGTCTGACATAACGTTTTTCTATACAAACTCACTCACCATTAAGTACGTGGACTAGGACACTGGCTGATTCAGCTGTCGAAGGAGCGCACGTGTAATTGCCTGAATCGGCGGAAAGTGCTCTTGAAATTAACAAGCGCGACGTTCGCGTTTGCTTTTCTGTAACTACACTGATGCCACCACGTTGACTGTAGTTTATTACGTTTTCACCTCTATACCTAAAATCAAATTAAATAAAAGTTTTATGAAAATTATTTCTTTTCAATGATTATGTTTTCTACATTATAATTTATGAGTAAATAGATTTTGAATGAAAGGAATTTCCCTTTACTATACGGATGTTGAAACTCGTTTATAGAAAATTTTGAAATAGAAACAGAACGTAATTTACATTTTTGGACAATGAAAATTGATAATTAATTTTTTTTGTTAAATATGCGTATATGTCGTAATTTTAATGGTATGTGCACATTGATTTCTAATTGCAAAACGATCTATGCTCGAGTAGGCATTCTGCAACATATATAGCTAGTTCTAAAGTCTGGGGTTGCAAACTCGTTCGGTGGAGTTAATGAATGTTTGAGTTCAGCACTCGTATAATCCGTTGGAGATGATGGAAATTGGATTCGAGGGAACCCAATTAAACTCACCAGTAAATGAAGGACGGTGGCTCAGGTGTCTGTTCGACGACACATGTTAGGTTGATGTCGCTTCCACTCTTAATGTAAAGTTCTGCATTGGCAAGAATTTTTGCTTTTGAAACTGCAACAAAAAGTAAGTCACTATATTGCATAAGTAGTAATTATTATAATAAAATAATATCCTTAATCCCAAAAATACGAATTCGTATAAGTATCATAAATAAATGCTCATTTACTTTTTTGAACAATATTTCTAAATTAATTTACATCCACAAAAATTAATTTGTAATTTAGATATTTTGTCTTTATTAATTCTTTGCGAGCTGTATAATTTCTGATGAAAATTTTCTGTAGCTTTTTTATATTGTTTAATATAATTCTGTTATTGATTTGGATTTATTGAATGAAATAAAATTCGGAAAGCAGATACTGACCTACTACACTGAGTTTGTAGGCCAAACTAATTTTTGGTTCTGTCGATACTTGACATTCGTATATGCCACTATCACGAACTTGAGATGAACTAATCTTTAATGTCCATTCGTCACTTCCATCACTGTGCAACGATTGAAAACGTTGATCATTTGTATATGTTAAAATTCCTACAGTGAGAATATGAAGATCCCTTTTTCTAATCCATGATACCTATTTTAATATAGAAAATAGAGAAAAAATTTAAATTATGAATTGGAAATTATTTTTATTGCTAATTTCGCAACAGTCGAAAACTTATTTTCTTTAAATATTTATTGCAATGCTTACAGCTCGATCACCAAGATTGCGTACTCTACAGTGTAGATAGGCTGTTTGTCCAACTGTTGTGATTGTCTCTCGCTTAGTTGTATTATCAAAATATGGTTGACTAAAAGGTTGTTCCCAATATGATGATGGATGATGTTCCACTATAGAACCACCTCCTCCTTTCGCTGAACATTCTGTAAATAATATTTCAATTATTCCGAGTGCCAAAAAATCAAATAAAAATTTGTTAATAAATTTTTAAATTTTAAATGAGAGAAGAAATCCTCATTGTATTTAAATCTGAAGAGATATTTTTTTTAGGGACTTTTGGGAAATCTGCATACAGATACCTTTGCTTCCGCATGTCAATGTTATGTGGGTTTGGTAAACAAAACTAAAAAAAAACCCCTCATTTTAGAACTCTTTATCAACCCTTGCAACTTATTCCTGCGGTTCTCCTGCGTTATTAATTTTAAAAAATAATAAAAACGATTATCAATGTCAAAGCGGAATTAACAGCAACTTTCGAAAAATCGATTCTTTTGCATTTTCTTAAACTATATGTTTTTAGAATTGTGTCTTTTAATTTTTATGCTGATTTGGTAAAAAATAAATGAGATATACAGCACAATGAAGAGGCGCGTCAGATAGCTGCAGGCCAGGCAGCAGCCACATCTGGCGCCAATGACAATAGGGGTTCCCCTTTTATCATCCTCTTCGAAAGAGGAGAATTGGAAGGAGTCGATAATGTTTTGGAGTTCAGTTTCAGAATTAACGTTGCAAACATCACACATATTTTACTTTATTACTTTTTATTGATTTGATTTTATTATGTTTTATTAATTATTGATTATTATTTATTTAATTATTTATTGTTTGTTTGTTAATTTTTAAAAAATGAATTCATTTAATTGGTACGTATTTATAATTTTAATTTTCCTTTCGATTATTTAATTAATAATTAATGTTAATTGATATTAATTAATGTTAATTGATATTAATTAATGTTAATGGATATTAATTAATGTTAAGAGGTATTAATTAATTTTAACTGACATTAATTAATATTAATTCACAACAATTGATATTAATTAATGTTAATTGATATGAATAAATATTAATAGTAAAATCCTATCAATTAATCTATTAATTTATGTGAATTAAAATTTTTTTGTATAAAACGATAAAATATATAAAAATTAACCTATTTTGAATTCTGCATTTGCATTCACTACGTGTACACAAATTTAATTATTAGTTTCATAAATATTATTTAAAGTTAGTACCAACTATTTTTTCTTCTTTTATTGAATTATAAATCGTAGGATCTTATATCTACAATATTTATTAAAATAAAAATACATAAATAAATATTGACCCACGGTATACGATATCTGATATTCACTTTTAGTTTTCGTTTATTCATATTTTTTTGTACATCGTATACTATTTCACACAGAGTTACTTGATTTTCGTTAAAATTATACACATCACGTATATACTGTATAAATCTTTGGTCGTTGAATCCTAATACAAAGAATATGGTTTGCGTGTCTAGCGTCGTTAATCTTGGAAAACACGAGAGACTCTCGTTATGTCTATCGGTTGCGCAGCGCGACTAGTTATATTTGATTTAATCTATGATAAAATATCAAAAAATATGATGCAAACAAATGTTCTCTAAGTACATGTCAATATTAATAATATAATAGAAGAACAGTAAAATTTAAATCCCCCTTCGTCCAATAGGTTTAATTAATGTCCAATTTAAAATAGATTCGTCATGCCTCAATTTTTCTATTCTATAGTTTGGTATTTTTTTAAATATCAGGGTTTTTATAGATTTTTAGATTTTAGTATAATCAAAAAAAAACTACAGTTAATTGTAAAAATTATCGTCTAAAAATTCGTGAAATGAATATTTAAATATTTTAAGAAACGATTTAATTTATCTTTGAAAATAACAGATGCTGGAAAAAAAAATATTTACGATTTTCATTCATATTCAGAAGAATGTAAAGAATATTAAATTTGAAAATCCAAACCACACAGAGTTATATGTTTTGACAGGTTGGAGAATTCCGTTTAATCCTCATGATCATCTTTCTCCTCGACATGAATCCGTTAGAATCTCCCTTGATTGTAATATATTGTACGTTAGATTTGACGTATACGTTACCATGACTACAGAATGGAACAAAAGATGAACTTTGCAAACTAGTTTTTACGATTTTTTTTTTATTAAATTCGTTTTCAATACAATTTTTCCAATATTGACAATTAATTTTTTATGTTTTAATTTATTCAATTTTTCATTGTCGAGAGAATGTAGAATTCGTCAATTGTACGATGATAAAATTTATGACTCTCTATATTAATATTGTAGTCTTATTGATTGACATCTTCAGTGAGATATAGTATTTGAATTACTGGAAAGTTAATATTTTTGTAATTTATAATTTTAATAATAATATGGACTCAAAAGGAAACGACTCATAATTAATTTATTGGGATTTACTGTCCAGTTGACGATGACGATAACGCTTCGTTCCATTTTAATTATTTCACCAAAAATACAACTTGACTCTACGAACACCAGGATGAGAATGAAGATTAAGGAATATTGTATCAGCGATCGATAACCGATACGTGACGGTCGGTAAAGCAGATTCCGGAACTATCCGATAAAAGCCCACACGAAAATGGCTTTTAGAAATAATTAAACAGATCATCAACGATACAGCGTTTTCGTCTTTCTGGTGTTCTTGAATATTTGGAAATAAGATTTAAATTGACTATTAATTCCAACAACTTTGGTTTAATTGTTATCTATTCTATTATTACACTTCAAAATGCAGCGTTTTTTAAAAGAAAAAAGCTTCTTTTTTTGTGTACAGAGTGCGCATGCTCTTGACGGAGACAGACGAGAAATACTACTCGACAATTCTCCCACCACTTCAAAACCAGTAAGAATATCGAGTTAACAAGTGTTTTCTTTTCTCCACTCCTGATGTCCAAAGAACAATTCAAAAAAGAACGTCGCAAACTTATGAAAAGACTAAATGTTTGGTGACAGTGCTGGTCTCATCTCGACGGGCTTTATCCCTGAGGTCAACAGAAATACATACACGAAAATCGATCGTTCAATCGCTGGCAGCATGATTCTCGAGGTCATCGCCACTGCCTCGATCGACTGGTCTCTCCCTAGTCACGTTGGAAATATGAATTCTCAAAATTGGGTTTTTTTTTTCGAAATTAAATTTACTTTTAAAAAAAAATTTGTTTACTTTCTTCTACTATGTCAACTTTTCAGGTGTTACTTAATTTATAAAGGAGTGTACGGCTAAGTTCAGCCAAAGTGAAACCTGATAAATTTTTCGTCGAGAAAGTTTTAAGTATAATAAACTGATCTCAGGGTGGGTTCAAAGCGTGGAATCTGCTAACCCGATCTCATTTGACGCCAACGTCATTTTTGTAGCTTCACACGGTGAAATTTCACGTGTTCTCGTTACAATATAAAACGCTTAAGATTATGAATTTTGTAAAGGGAAAATTAGTTATATTAAATTAAATTTAATTAATTGAACTTGTTGCGGATTTTTGAATGTAAGCAATTCAGAGTGAGTAGGGACTTCTCGGGAAACTCAGTTTTGCGAAAAATTGTATTTAATTAATTGTACTATTAAATTAATTTAATTAATTGTATTTAATTAACTGTACTATTAAATTAATTTAATTAATTGTACTATTAAATGAATTTAACTAATTGCATTTAATTAATTGTACTATTAAATTAATTAAATAATTATTTGTATTTAATTAATTGTACCATAAAATTAATGTAATGAATTGTATTTAATTAACTGCAGTATTCAATTAATTGTACTATTAAATTAATTTAAACAATTGTATTTAATTAATTGTACTATTAAATTAATTTAATTAATTGTATTTAATTAATTGTACTATTAAATTAATTTAATTAATTGTATTTAATTAACTGTACTATTAAATTAATTTAATTAATTGTATTTAATTAACTGTACTATTAAATTAATTTAATTAATTGTACTATTAAATTAATTTAACTAATTGCATTTAATTAATTGTACTATTAAATTAATTTAATAATTAATTGTATTTAATTAATTGTACCATAAAATTAATGTAATGAATTGTATTTAATTAACTGCAGTATTCAATTAATTGTACTATTAAATTAATTTAATTAATTGTATTTAATTAATTGTACTATTAAATTAATTTAATTAATTGTATTTAATTAACTGTACTATTAAATTAATTTAATTAATTGTACTATTAAATTAATTTAACTAATTGCATTTAATTAATTGTACTATTAAATTAATTTAATAATTAATTGTATTTAATTAATTGTACAATAAAATTAATGTAATGAATTGTATTTAATTAACTGCAGTATTAAATTAATTTAAATAATTGTATTTAATTAATTGTATTTAAGTAACTGTACTATTAAATTAATTTAAATAATAGTATTTAATTAATTGTACTATTAAATTAATTTACTAATTGTATTTAATTAACTGCACTATTAAATTAATTTAATTAATTGTATTTAATTAACTGTACTATTAAATTAATTTAATTAATTGTACTATTAAATTAATTTAATTATCAAATTAAATTCTTCGAATCTAATATTAAAATATATTTACGCTATGAATAGAAAATTATATAGGGAACGAATTTGTTCATTGAAAATTGAATCAATTGACATTCTAAATTCAACTAGATTAGTTTAAAGTTTAAACCAATTTCCTTTTGGAAAATTCACCATTCAAAAACCCATCCAATTATATATGAAAAATAATAAAATTTATATAATACACATTTTTTTTTGTAAGGATTTTTAAATTGTAAATCTATAAAGATATGGAATTGCCTACGTATATATAAAAGTATATAATTTTAAACGTTGGAAAAAAAGTCGAAGTAAAACAAGGGATAAAGGAGAGAGTGCAGTATAGGTCTTTTATATTAAGATATCCAACACGACATTTTCAGTCAAGTAGAGAATCGCATGTAAAAAAATACCCTGTCACCATATTGCCCTGTACCATGTACTTCCTAATAAAAGTCCTTTACTAAGGTTATCCTTTTGTGTCGCAAGCACTATAGGTGTTAGACGAATGTCTAACTTCTTATCGAG